TGGCCATATGGTTGACTCAATAACTTTGTCGGCAAATTCAACCTATCATTAAGGTAAATGCCGTCTAACATTTTTCATGCTCATTGTTAGGCCATTATTTTCCCACTTTAAAGTCTATAAAATTTCCCGTAATTTTCCCAATCATATGTCAAGGAGTACACAACAGATGTGATTAATCAGTAGGGGATGCTCACTACTCCATCATGACCATGGCACCTGATCCCAGTTCTAATCATATAAAAGGTCTGTATTTGCTCCCAATTTGAATTTTTTAAATGAACTCTGAGCTTGAATAATGTTTTCTCAATATTTCATGTCAGTGCATTTACCATATATACTCGCCTATAAGTCGTTTTTTATGAGTTAATCTCTGGTCCAAAACTCTGTGTCCAACTTATATGCGAGCTATAAAAAGAAATTAATTTATCATATGTACTAGGAACACGTGCTTTTGTTTATTATGTGCTAATAAAAGCGACAGTAGCTATTGGTCAGTATTTAAAGGTTGATACCTGTAGAGCAGGTGAACAGGTATTCACTTTAATCACGCTTTTAACTCATTCGAAGGTTTTGCTTTGCGACATTCACACCATTCACCCTTTTACTTGTATTTTGTTAGGTCACCTGAGTAAGCTCAGGTGACCTATTGCTATCCGTTTTCGTCCGTCGTCGTCCGTCGTGCGTTAACATTTGAACATTTTCAGCTTCTTCTCTGAAACCACCGAACCAATTTCAACCAAATTTGGTATACAGCATCTATGGGTAAAGGGGAACAAAAACTGTGAATTTCATGGTCCCTGCCCCCCTGGGGCCTGGGGGTGGGGCAAAAACCACTAAAATTAGTGCAATCTTTAAAAATCTTCTTCTTTACTCCTAGACATCAAGCAGTCAAACTGTTGGTATGATTGTAATCAGCATTGAGTCCTCTACCAAAATTGTGAAATTCATGGCCCCAGGGTCAGGGGTTCTGATGTTAGGGCGGGGCTCTATTGATTATATAGTGAAAATGCATTATTTCTTTGAAAATCTTCTTCTCTGTTCCTGAGTATCAAATAAACTAATTAAGTACATAGTTATGATGAGCAAGAGTGCCTCTACCAAAATTGTAAATTTTATGGCCCCAGGGTCAGGGGTTCTGGTGTTAGGGTGGGGCTCTATTGATTACATAGTGAAAATGCATTATTTCTTTGAAAATCTTCTTCTCTGCTCCTGGGTACTAAATAACTTAAGTACATACATAGTTATGATGAGCAAGAGTTCCTCTACCAAAATTGTGAATTTTATGGCCCCAGGGCCCGGGGTTCTGGTGTTACGGCGGGGTTCTATTGATTATATAGTGAAAATGCATTAAATCTTTGAAAATCTTCTTCTCTGCTCTTAGGTATTAAATAAACTAACTAAGTGCATAGTTATGATGAGCAAGAGTGCCTCTACCAAAATTGTGAATTTTATGGCCCCAGGGTCAGGGGTTCTGGTGTTAGGGTGGGGCTCTATTGATTATATAGTGAAAATGCATTAAATCTTTGAAAATCTTCTTCTCTGCTCTTAGGTATTAAATAAACTAACTAAGTGCATAGTTATGATGAGCAAGAGTGCCTCTACCAAAATTGTAAATTTTATGGCCCCAGGGTCAGGGGTTCTGGTGTTAGGGTGGGGCTCTATTGATTATATAGTGAAAATGCATTAAATCTTTGAAAATCTTCTTCTCTGCTCTTAGGTATTAAATAAACTAACTAAGTGCATAGTTATGATGAGCAAGAGTGCCTCTACCAAAATTGTGAATTTTATGGCCCCAGGGTCAGGGGTTCTGGTGTTAGGGTGGGGCTCTATTGATTATATAGTGAAAATGCATTCATTCTTTGAAAAGTCTTTTCTCTACTCCTAGGTATTAAATAAACTAACTAAGGATATAGTTATGATGAGTAAGCATGCTTCTACCAAAATTGTGAACTTTATGGCCCCATGGTCAGGGATTATAGTGTTAGGGTGTGGCTCTATCATGATTATATGGTGATAATACATTACATCTATGAAAATCTTTTTCTCTACTCCTGGGTAATAAGCAGATGAACTCCTTATATAGTTATGATGTGCAAGGGCTCTTCTTCCAAGAATTGTGAATTTCAAGGCCCCTGGGTCAGGGATACCAAAGGGGGGGGCTCTACTTCTATATACTGAAAATGAATTGTTTGAAATCTGCTCCTTGGTATTAATTGAACATTTTTAATAAGCAAGTGTGCCTTTTCAAAAAAAGTGCAATGTGTAGACCTAGGGTAAGGGGTTCATGTGTGATAAGGGCACTCCTGATTATTGCTGAATATTACTGATTAGTTGACATGCTTTTTTGTTCCCCTATCCTGCTTATGGGTATTAATTAAACAAACTAAACAATTGCTAAGTGTATAGTTATGATTAGCAATGGTGCCTCTTTCAAAATTGTGAATGTCATAGGATCTAGCTTAAAACATGAACCAAATTCAATCATTTGCATGCGCGGATCTAGAGGGGGGTCCAGGGGGTCAGGACCCCCCTGGAATATACCAGGTAAAAAAATATATATACTAAAACAAGAAAAAAAGTTACCATGGACCCCCACTGGAAAACGCTGACCCCCCTTGGTAAACGCGAATATGTGTGAAATGGGTATGAAAAGTGAAAGATTTGAGGCAATTGAAGTCACCACTACCCCCCCCCCCCCCCCCCCCCCCCCCCCCCGAAATAGGTTTTTGACGTTTGGGCGAGTTTAGGTTTTTTTTGTTTTTTGCTTGTCAAGAAATTTCTGGTATTGGATTTTTTTTTGACTGGGGTGGACCCCCCCTGGAAAAAATTTCTGGATCCGCGCCTGATTTGAAAGTTGCTGCATGATGCTCAGGTGACCTATAAGGCCCATGGGCCTCTTGTTTAATAAAGAAAGTAATTGTTTTCATTACAAGAAAATTAAAAGTTTTGTACACAACAGATTAATTGTCAAAGATGGGAAACAATTTGCTTAGTCGCTCTAGATAATTTTATGTAAAATTAGCTACATATAGTCAAAATGTGTTTACAGATAGTTCTAACTTACATTTATTTTGCATAGGTTTTACTTAAACTAGTTGATTAATTGTACATTATAATATACGACACTTACATAAGTTTGTGAGAATGAGTCCGCCATTTATTTTGTTTCCCTCGCAACTGCTGCTGACTTACAGGTTTCCATAGTTTTTTCAACATAAAACGATGTTGTTTTTTATCTATGGTTTTTCCTGGGCGGCGAGGGAAGCATAATTGTGTTCATACATGCATTATATTACGTTTTTAATCAGTGAAGTGAGGACATATAAAAGCATTGTGTTAAAATGCATTTTGTACTGTGATGTGTGATTAATTATATTTTTGATATATTGTAGAAGGAAGGTAGAGAATCGGTACCACTGAAGACTTGTGTTTTGTAAATGTATTCCTCTAATAAATACTGGCAAGCAAGTGCTTACATTCCTATATAGACAAGTGCTCTTGTTTTGATTGTAAATAATTTATGTTCGTTTGAGTGAAACGAATTAGAACATAATGGTATTATATGAGGTCAGTCCATCTGAAATATAAGCTTATAGGTGACTATATACGGTTCTTGAAGGAATCAACAGCTTTAAATCAAAATTATCTCTGCCTTGTTTAAAGAGTTTGTGCTGGGTCATATCTAACAAACTTTAATGACAAGAAAACCTTTTAGCAATATTTGGTAAAAAATTTATTCACATAGAATTGAATTTATTCTATGCATATTTACATGAAATAAATAATAGTTATCAATGAACTATGAACAATATGAATTGATGCATAACAATATGATTTTCAGGATTGCCAAAATAATCTTAATTTTACCTTCCCTTCCCCCTTATCATTTGTTTTGTTAATTTTAAAAAAAAAAAACCACTTAATTGTTACTAACAAACAAAGCATAGATACGAAACTTTGGGAATGAGCATTAGATAAATGCTGATAATGTGATGATGATGGTATATATACAATGCTGTGGACAGGCAGTTTATCCCCAACAATGGGAACACTTATAGTACTGGTACCGGTATGTTTTATCTTCCCTGCAGTTAAATGTAGTTCCTTAAACGTACGTAGAACGAAAATTTCTTAACAGGACAAATGGCTGCACAATGAGATGGTGATGAATAAATGTTTACAAAATGTTACTTACAAAACGAAAGGAAAAAAACACAATTCATGCAAACTTAACATACACCCTCCATCAAACACAACATTATAAAGTAAGAAAGTTAATGAATATCCCAACTCAAACCTCTATCTGAATATTTAAGTAAACCTCATCATTTCTATTTGATTGAATCTTTATGTCCACAATCTGTAAAAATTTCATAAACTAAGATAAAACAGTAAATAGCACATTTACTCTAAAGAACTTAAAACTTCTATTTACAAGTATTGGGACTATGTACAAATAGATCTGTTTTCAACATTATCACATTAATGCTTATCACTACCAAATAAAATGATGTACAAAATGAAAGTATAATTTATAAAGCTTTCCATGTTCAGAAACAAGTATACAAACTATTCACTAACAAGTCAATTCTGGGAATTATCTTAAACTGTCCAACATTACCGGGTAAATATTTTTGTTCAGTGCACATTTATATGTATTGATATATTGTCAAATCTTCATTTTTAGCCAAAGTTCACTTTCCTTTTGCTTTTGCTAAGTACAGTTTAATAATAAAAAGACATTTTATACTTTCACTCAAAAAATGTCTTTGGAATATTTCTTTAAAATTGTGTGAATATTTTTTTAGTGAATTATGAAAAGAAACTTTGAACATATAAATGGAATAAATAAACTCTAGATGGTAAATAGGATTATTATTGCTGAGATCTTTATACAAAATCTACCACTGGCCCGCTGTGTTCTAAACACAAGATAAAGTCAACATATACATCTCTGTTAACAATATTGCAAATTTTACAGATGGCTTTTTTCTTAAAAAAAAAAAAGTGATGAAATTTATGTTAATATATGCTTCCTAACTAAGATGACATTGTCATTTCTTATGAAGAAATGACCCTCTACATGAACTGTGAGCTACATTTTATGAGGCTACAGACTCGGAGGGTAAATGTTTCGAAGAAGAGATGTCCTCATTAGATAAACAGGTAACAGCACTATTAGATGAGCCCGAGTCACATGTACTAGACACAATACTTGACGACAGAGAGGATGAATCACAGCGACCGCTCCCGTCTGAGTAAGACTCCTGGAGTTCATAATGAGAACTTTCACCGTTAGTTTTCAGTTTCTTCTGAACAGGTTCCTCTGCGTCATGTAAGCCGTTCACAGCCACTGATGAAGAACTTGTAGCAGTCTGTTTACGCTTTTCTGGACTGACCGTAACAACAGTCGGGGACGCCCCCGATACGTCCAGCTCCCGGGGCTCGATACGTACAGAAGATGCCCCCTCTCCGTCTATGTGGTGTCTTGCCCCCTCTCCGTCTAAGTGGGGCCTGAGATGATTACGTTTGGGGTCACCATAGATGAGAGAGTGGACAGGGCTGGCTGAACGCTCTCTTGTGGGGGCTGGTACTGGACTCTCCTGGTCATCCAGGAACCGCTCCATGTAATCTCTAAAATAAAACACCAAGCTTAAATACTCCATAATTACTGACATCAACTATTTAAATCAATAATATATACAAGAATATTTTTATTGTAAAAAACTTCAGCAACCTTTCTAAATTAAAATTTTTACTCCTATCATTTAAAGCAAATCTGATTTCCAATGCATCTGATACATAAATTTAATCACTTAAACTAAGATCTTACGTTATTCCTGGATGTAAAACATATTTTCTTTTCTCTATCCTGTTTTTGTTGGCAAACACATCATGTCTCTCTGTTTTCTTCCACAGATAATAAAACTGTACTAGTTCTCCTACTGATCTGGTCTTCACCTTCAAAGCAAAGAATGAATATCATGTAGTAATTCTTATTAAAACAGTATCATCTGTTAATGTTATACTAGTAGATGTTCTAAACATCCCATCTGCAATCACCGTTCTAAAAAGTTAAAAGCTTAACTTGATACAGGGATGTAGTATCGTTTTAAAAAGTGGGAGCATCATCAGACTGGGGAAAATTTTGGACTGCCTATTTTGACAAAGGAAGGGAAATAAATCTCCAAACCCAAAAATCCTATTTTGTAAGGGGAATTGAGGGGTTCATGTGCTTTTCACAACCAAATTTTTAATTTCTTCATATATTACTACATGAGCCTTTCACTGAACATTTCCTAAAGAAAAACACAAGAAAAATATGGGACTTCTGCTACTGATCTGTAAAACCAGCAGATATTCCCATTACTAACCAACCTTGTTTTGCTGAATGAGGTAGAAATCTTTTCCATATGTTCGGAGTCCGTTCTCAAAATTACGACATTCTTCCTCGGACCAAAGGCTCATAGGATCTACAACACAAGGAGATTATTTTACTTTCTTAGTTCAGAATATATATACATGATATAACTCCATAAGATTCAGCAGATTTGTCTGACAGAACTTGGGTTGTGATATAAATTTACCTGTGGGTGGGACGGCCTGCATTTTCCTCCTCCTCAGAGCTTCCTCTATGTTATGTCCACACTGAAGTAACATATACAAAGCCTACAAAAGAACAGAAGTAATGTAACAAGAACAATATTAAGGTTTTTCCCACATCTTTTCTGAATATTCTTTTTCTTTTTACTGTGTCACATTCTGTATATAATAACCAACTATTACTCGAATCATCTTTTATTTGTGATTTGTCAGTTTGAAATCAATCCACAACTAATTTTTGCGACTGAGAAAGCATTTTTTTCCAAAATAAAGAAAAATAAATGGTGCACAGGAATAAATATTTGTGAGCCCCCATGGGTAGAGAACTGGCCCCCTGTCCCATTCTGTATATATAAATCAATATAACAGTATGAAGGATTGACCCCCCACCCACTCACCTGTTCGTCGTCCCTGACATGAGCCCCAGTGGGTAGAGCACTGGCCCCTGTCCCATTCTGCATGATCTGGTTCTTCACTTCCTCTAAGTATTTCTCCACAGCTGTAACAGAAATAGGTACATATTTATCTATACAAGTGTAACTTACAAGTTACGTCTTCTGAAGACTGTCTTCTGTAAACCAACTATCATTCGCCTCATCTTTTATTAATGATTTGTCAGTCTACGACCGAGGAAACATTCTGTATGAATCCTTAGCAAAATGAACGGTTCGCTGCAATTAATATTCACGAATTAAAGGAGGTTGTGGAACTCTCATAAATTTCTCGCACATGAATAAAAGTTAGTTTACAGTAATTATCCAGAAAAGAATACAAACCTTCCGGGTCTTCTATCTTTGTGGGATCCCATAACAAACGATCTTCATTTTCATATGCTACAGAAAATCAAATAATGATTTATTTGTAAGAAAGCTAAGGTTACATTACAAATTTTCAGATAACCCCCCTTCCTTTAGAGTTTTAACCTACATCTTGAAGTAAAATTATTGACTGTATTGTGCCAAGTTCATGAATTATACTGTTGTGCAAAGTTTATCATGTTTATAGATTATATTGTTGTTCTATTTTCATGGGATATTTGTTTGTGCTGAGTTCATATTATTATATTGTTGTGCTAAGTCTATGGATTATATTTTGTTGTGCCCACTTTATGTGATCTTTGTTTCAGTAGCCTTACCCGGTGCATCGCCGTATTTACAAAGTCCGTCAGGAACCGTGGCCTGGTAGTCAGATCCAACCTGGATTGTCTGTGAAAAACAGAATGTCAAAATATACTACTATAATTAGGGAATATAAATATATTTTCTGATACTTTTCAGTGTGAAACTCATCTTCATTTACATCTTCATTAACTAGGAGTAATATAAAACTAATAGCAACCAGATGAAATGATTTTTTTACAGTAATTGTTAAAGCTACCTTGTAGTTAATACAACTGACCTTTTTCCAGTCATCCATGGGTTCTATAGGGTGGTAATCTAAATCCTCTTCTGATTCAGAGTCCTCATCACTACCCTCCTGACTCTTAGCTGTCAACAAATAAACAGAAAATATAAGTAAGTCAACAGGTCATGGAAAGAAATAAATATTATAATACACATACATATACACCAAATGTAAAATAGAATGTTTGGCCATGCTTGAAGATGACATGCCTATTGAGGGGTTCTCTTTAAAACTAAGGAGCCTAACAGTCTGAATAAAGGACTTTAATAATTCTTGAATGAATCTGCTTTCAACTGAGAAACCTAGCTGCCATAGAAATTAATTAGAAATTCTACACTGAAGTACATCTGAGAAGTGTAAATTCATGAAAAGAGGACTTACTAGGGATTCTACTTACACCTGAGGAGTCTGGCTATCTGAGAAGAGGACAGTAAGGGGTTCTACTTACACCTGAGGAGTCTGGCTGTCTGTGAGGAGGACACACTACTGAGGAGTTCATGTGCTGTGGTCTCTTTGTCATCATCGTCGTCGCTCGTCTTCAGAATGTCTCGAGCGATCTCGTCTTTGTCGAGTGTGAGATCGTGGTTACTGAGGATCTCCTCCTCACTGCTGGAGCGAGTGTCCTGTCTCTCCTCGGCCACCACTGGTCTGGGCCCCCCTCCATAGCCATACATTGCCAGCAGGTCCTCCAAAGGCATCTCCCCCTCCTGTTTTAACAAAACATACAAAGTAATTTGATTTTTCAATTCAGTTTATAATTTAATAAAATAAGCTTTCATATATATCTGCTACTGCATTTTTGTTCTGTTAATAATGAAAGATAGTGCATATCCTCTACTCCTAGGGCAATTTTAGATTTAGTTTTCTATCTTCCTTCCACAGAAATACCAATGAAAACAATTCTATTGATATGAGACTAGATCTTTGACGAGACTTACCTTTTCTAAATCTCCGAGTTCATCACAACAGCTCTCCCCACTGAGTGCTTCTTCCTCCTCCAGTGTCTGTTCATCGTCGTATTCATGGACTAACATGTCAGCGGAAGGATCAAAGTCTCGATCTGTGTCTGCACAAAAAGAAAATGAAAATCCTTTATGTTTTACATCATACACCTTTGACCTAATTAATATTTTTCTGACCTAAGAAGCACACATAGTAATTTGACACTTCTGTAAACAGAGCTACAAAATATTTGTTTAAATGAAAGACTCTAAAGTGTGATGGTGATGGCAAAGTCCAATGGTCTGCGCCATTGATGACTCTGATGACTTGCTGTTGGTACCGACACCAAAGTCCGATGGCTCGTTTCCGCTAAAGTGTGATGGTCTGATACGCCAAGGTCTGATGCTGTGGAGACACAATCAATATTTATGATGTCACAATAGGCTGACATCATGAGGTTTTCCTGCATTCAAATTCCATTGATTCAGTCTTCGCCTTGCATGCAATTTTACTGATTTTGCTTCTTGTTTTCGCCCATCAGGGCTATTAAGGATAGTCCTTGCACACCATTCAACTGATAAAGATTAGTCTTTGGACACTATTAGACTGATAATGTGTTTCTTCCTGCCCACCCAAGAGATTTTAGGGTTAATCTTCGCACACTATTGGACTGATTTGGGTTAGTCCTGCACCCACCCAAGATATTTAGGTTATAGTTGTTACATATTTTTGACTGACAAGTGTTAGTCTCGCACCTCTATCCAAAAGATGAGCTTTAGTCTTTGTATTTATGATATTTTTTATTTAATTAAAACAATTGACCCTTGGCATGGTGGCGGGTGCAGCATCAAAGTTAAGTACAGCAGTACTATGACGTCATAAATGTTGTTTTCCACACCACCAGACTTTGGTGTGTCAAACCATAATCGGTTTGGTCGTTAGAAGCTCATCAGATGCTACTAATCGATTATAAAATAAATGTCGCCGACATCGCACAAAAAATAAAATTGTCCTACATATATTATCCATCCAAGAGCAAAGAGCTTTGTCATGTTCAAGTCACTTAGGACCAACATGTCATACTTTTTCACAAAACTTATCCATAGACTTTTATTTTATGGTACAAAGGAAAAAAATATGTTTGTTTATCTTTCAACGTAATTAAATTATAGGGTAGGTACAAGTAGGCTTTTTTTTTTTTTAAAAAAATTTTATTATTTTAACTAATTATAAAGTAACATTAATGAAAAAGATACATGTTTTCAATGCAAGGTGTGACTTAACTTATAATAAAAGGTACCCAAACTTCTCTCTTTATAAAAAAAAGTAAAATAAATTCCCTGGTTGAAATCTTGCACATCACAGTTTTATATAGTCACACTTGCTTTAAAAATGGCCAAAAATTTTTTTTTCCACTTTGTATAAAAGAAATTTCAATTAACATTTTTGAATATTTCAATATGCCATAAAAAAAATACATTTTGTGAATAAAACTTGATAATCTAAATAAGGATATGTATTATGTCTTTACTATATCAAAGATTACTTATTACTGTGACTATAAAAAATTGCTAGGTTGAATGAAATATTTTTATTGAATACATGTACCCTTATGGTTGTACAGAAGAACACAAGTAATTTGATTACAGAAATAAAATTTTATCACAAAATACAAGACTTTGAGTGTGTCAAACAGGACTTTGCCTGCTGTTTGTCATGTTTACTTACTACTACGTACCTAACCCATTACACAGTCATTATAAATGCCGCCAAAACACTCTTTATTAGCGTGATTCATTGTGATATGCAAGGAATTGACCAAATGCTTCAATAACCAGGTCGGATCTTAGAAAGTTTAAGAAGTTTGGATGCCATTCTATCAGGAACATTATTTATACACGTTTTTGGTTCTATCAAACTCTGTACGGCATGCTGCCATAACATTACATGATCTAAGTCAATGCGATGCTTTATAAAGTGTATCTAAGTATATGTCTTCAAACATTTTCTTGATAGAGAATCTTTACAAATGAAATTAATGACTTAAAAATTGACGTTTTCAAGCCCAAATTTTCTGTGACTTAAAATGCGAGTGTGTTTTCATTTTTAGTCACAAATGAACAATTTTACAAAATCAATTGTTTGGTCGCAAATGCGACCATTTTAGTCGCAACTTGGAGCACTGCATCATGGGACAAAAGCATTAAAAAAATATTTAGGGTCGGCACTATAAATTAGGGTCGGTTGGGAAAGCGGAAACAAACATATTTTTTTTCTAGGTCTCATGAGGGCCTAAATTTTAAGTTTGGTTTCTGAAATTTCATTGGGTACCCTGTGGTAAAATAAGTAGAGTGCACTGTAGCTAGTTAGAATAATCTAACTGTGTCTCAGGACAAGCCCTCACCACAATTAGAATACCTCCCATATACTTGCAATGTCGCAAAAAATTGCAGAATTGCTCTGAAACGATCTTGAGGAATACAAAATGATTTCACTGAAAATAACTTCCAAATTAATTATAACAAACCTTTTTGAGGTTGTGTATGCATTTAAACCTAAAATATAATCCAAATAAAGACGAAAATTCAACAAATTTTTTCAACATTTTTCTCACTTCAAATTTAAATGCCATGTTTACGTTTGGAACATGTTTACGTTTGGAACTCTCTCGACTGTTTGTAGTTAATACATTGAGTACGAATTATTGCCAATGTTCATTTTACTACATTGCTAATACACACAATGAATTCTATCATTACACAGGTCCGTAGGGCATTTATCACTTTAACGAAAGAACATTCTATCTACAATGTAACAGGCACTTGTTTCAGAAATGCATGACATAGTATAATATCTGAAACAAGTGCCTGTGATTTTCTTAGTTTTTTTTTTTTTTGGTGTGGAAATCTGTCGAATCTTCTTGATATAACAGCAAAAAAGGACAAAATGTGTGAAATAACCAAAATTTGTAGTTTTCTCTATCCTTATAAAGATTTTACATTAAAACATAAAACATGGAATAGTTCTCAACAGTCATACTAAGGAAAGGAAGGGGGTCATATATTCATAGATCATTAGACATAGAATGAAAAATTTCACTATTGTACGAAAATGCTTACCTGGGCTGCTGGACTCACTTGTACCAGCCTGAAAAGAAATTAAAAATAATTTTAATCACATCTCAACGACAACATAAACATGGGGGAAACCCTATATGAACCGAATGACCGCCGCACTCTAAACAAAAATCCAATTTCGCGCCAGTTAAATCTTCAATTTTCCCATCAAAAACTGAAAAATATCCGACAAAATTTACAGAATAAAAAGATGAATATTAGATGTTTTTAAATACATATGCATCGAACATTAGAATGGACTAATAAGTGGCCATTTAAGGGGAATCCATACAGATATTAACAATATTCCAATAGATACCTCCGCCATCTTTATCAAAAATTATGGGATACGCTAATTTTGAATGAAATCGAGGCTAGAATCAAACCGGATGTCAAAATTCTTTGTATGCGAAACGTTTATTGGCTAATTGATTTTATTGTCCAAGACCACTTTTGTACATATTTTTAAAGAATAAAGTATTGACACTTCATTTAAGAACTTTTTCTCAAATATTGAATGACCAAATTTCGATTTTTTATTCAATTTAATACTTGATAATAACACATTTATTGAAACTAATGCATAAACCATTTTGTAGGGTATTGCCGCTCTACCAATCAAAACTCTGCTATCAAACGATCGTAAGTTACTCTTGGCAACTGAAAAGCATTATAATATGGCGATTATTTAGCAAGTGTGCGAAACTTTTTGAAACTCAAAACCTTGTGAGACATGTCAACGTCAAAGTCCCGCAAAAGTCAATACCTGAACCCAGGGTAAATGAAAAGAACGATGTACTATTTTTATTTTCTGCAAAAGCTGTTAAACCTAATGTGTTTTGCAAAGTTTGTAGTTGTTTAAAGTTATTTCGAATTTTCTCTTATGGTGAATTATTTTTAGCTCACCTGAGCCAAAGGCTCAAGTGAGCTTTTCTGATCACAATTTGTCCGTTGTCTGTCGTTGTTGTCGTCGTTGTCGTCGTTGTCGTCGTCGTCGTCGTTGTAAACTTTTCACATTTTCATCTTCTTCTCAAGAACCACTGGGCCAATTTCAACCAAACTTGGCACAAAGCATCCTTGGGTGAAGGGGATTCAAGTTTGTTCAAATGAAGGGTAACACCCTTTTCCAAGGGGAGATAATCATGAATTTGTTAAAAATTAATGGCATTTTTAAAAAATCTTCTTCTCCAGAACCGCTGGGCCAGGAAAGATGAAACTCATATGGAATCATCCTCAGGTAGTGCAGATTCAAGTTTGTTCAAATCATGACCCCCGGGGCAAGGGCGGGGCCAAAATGGCCGACCCAAGTTTTACATAGGAATACATAGGAAAAATCTTTAAAAATCTTCTTCTCCAGAACCACTGGGCCAGGAAAGATGAAACTCATGGGAAATCATCCTCAGGTAGTGTAGATTCAAGTTTGTTCAGATCATGACCCCCGGGGCTAGGGTGGGGCCAAAATGGCCGACCCAAGTTTTACATTGGAATATATTAGAAAAATCTTTAAAAATCTTCTTCTCCAGAACAACTGGGCCAGGAAAGATGAAACTCATGTGGAATCATCCTCAGGTAGTGCAGATTCATGTTTGTTCAAATTGTGACCCCCGGGGCAAGGTTTGGGGCCAAAATGGCCGACCCAAGTTGTACATAGGAATATATAGGAAAAATCTTTAAAAATCTTCTTCTCCAGAACAACTGGGCCAGGAAAGATGAAACTCATATGGAATCATCCTCAGGTAGTGCAGATTCAAGTTTGTTCAAATCATGACCTCCGGGGCTAGGGTGGGGCCAAAATGGCCGACCCAAGTTTTACATAGGAATATATTAGAAAAATCTTTAAAAATCTTCTTCTCCAGAACCACTGGGCCAGGAAAAATGAAACTCATGTGGAATCATCCTCAGGTAGTGCAGATTCAAGTTTGTTCAAATCATGACCCCCGGGTCTAAGGTGGGGCCAAAATGGCCGACCAAAGTTTTACATAAGGATATACAGGGAAACCTTTTAAAATCTTCTTTTCAAGTATTTCAAAGCTATGATTAGTGATATTTATATGGAATCATCTTCAGGTAGTGCAGATTTTAGTTTGTTCAAATGATGACCGCCTGGAGGGGGGGGGGGGGGTAGTATATTCAAGCTCGACGTGCTCAGGTGAGCGCTGTGGCCCCTGGGCCTCTTGTTCTCAGATGTTTTCATTAATTGCAGCAAATAATAAACAAAGATCGTTTTAAGAAAACTTAACTACTTCATTTCAGAAGCATAATTATTATTTAATTATATGTGTCTGTTCTTCAAATAAAACAAGGAACCAAACAAAAACAACATTCAGAAAAATCAATTTTAAGTTGCCATACAAGTGCAAACAGACAAGTCAAAAGCAAGTTTTATGTGCAGGTCTGCTTTTGTACCGTTTTTACCTCATGCATTTGTTGACGGTGCGATCGCTAAGGCGAGAGCAGATACCTTATTCACTATTCAGTTTTAATTAAGTTTGGTGTCGTCAAACTGCATGTTGCATTTGCTACTCCTAGACTCTGACGTCACATGATTGTTTGTATATGTTATATAAATTCTGAAGAGTGCATTTAAAGTGAGATTATTTTTTTTTCTTTGAACTAATCTTGTGCAAAAATGAAGCTTGCAGCAAGATTCAATAATTACTAAGGATTGTGGGTGTAGAGGTAATTGTGGAAAAAATTCATTTGGATCAATGTGTAAAGTATTTATTTTCTCTTCACCCAGGAGTTGTCATTAGAGCACACAGTGCCACTTGCTATAAGCTCACAGCTATAAAATTTGTTTTTAGAAAAAAAGTTATTTTCACACAAACTGTGAACCAGTTGTTTTTACAAGACATTCAACTTTTCAGTACAAGCCAAGTTGCAGCCAGCACCACATCACGGAAGGGAAATGTTGGGGCCTCAGTAAATAAGAGCAAATATGGAGGGGGTGGTACCATGTACGCCAGTGTCCGATCACGGACAAATATCCTGTCATCAGCCAGTAAAAGAAGTGTGGCTCAGAGTGACAAGGCAGTTACCAAACCACCTGTTCAGGTGATTACTTGTTGATCATTATTTGTATTACTTCTTGTTGTATGATAAAGCTGGTAAATTTCTAGAAATCAAGGAACTTTCTCTGGTTATGTTTGTTGTACTTTGTTATTCTAGGTTTTAGATGAAGCCGGTAATGATGTAACTCCTCTTCCCCTGTTACATTCCGATCCATCAGCTGTGAAAAAGAACCAGAGTAACATTCTAGCCGACAGCTCAGCTGGAACAGTAAGTTTATATACTTATATTGCTAATTTTTTTAGTAGACTAACTTTTCAATAATTATCAGTTCAGAAGTTATTATAGCATGAACATTTGTCATTAGATGATTTTCTACTTGTATAATTCTCTCCCTTCAGCCCACAGATCTCATGTCGCAAGCCTCCATTTACAACACAGGAAATGTCACAGCAAGTACATTTGGAGGTGGACCCTTTACCAGGTAGTTCTATTGTACCTCTCAGAGAAGCATCTAATACAATTACTGTATAAGAAGTTTCTTGTCATTAATTTATCTTTATCTGACTTTCCCCCAGGTCTGTGTTCAGTGCATCTCAAGGAACAACTTCCGATTCTATGATGGGGGAGGATATTACAGAGCCCTCCCAAGATATGTCCTCAGCATGGGCAGGTAATCACAACAGCCAAAGATTGTCATTCTATTACATGTTTATCTGCCTTCAAGACCATGTGAATGATATATTTTGGAGTTTATTTTTCTTCCATTTACGAAAAAATGTCATTTAATTTTCAACTTGATAAAAATGAAACTGAAATAAATGAATTCAGAAATGGTTAAGTGCTTCCGAATACTTGGTGTGCATTTCCAAATTGTGGATTGGAATATGTTTATTATAATATTATGTGATTATGAAAGTTTGTGTTTGACAGATATTCGTCACAAGAGAGAGGAAGTGAAGGAGACATTGACGGATGCCGACTTGGAGAAGATTGTTGACCTGACGCTGACAGAGACAGAGACTATCTGGCTACTGGACATGCCTGGGACCTCAGTGTCTACAGAGTCTGAGGAGGCAGCAGGGGTTAAAAAGAGGAACGAAGAATACCTAGAGGTGAGACAAAAGAATACAAGATGTCAGATATATGTGACTGAAAGTGATTAAAAAAATTTTAAGAAGTGTAAATTTTCAACTATTGTTGTCATGAAAACTTTAAATATAAAGAGAAGTAAAAGTAGGGAAAAGAATTCAAATCTGATTGATGAAAATCAGAACAATTCTCTTCTGATTGTAGTTAAAGAAGACGAGAGTGGGGAATGACAGGTATGCCGAGAGAGGGATGAACACATTTAATGAACCAGCCAAGTACAAAACAGTCCAAACAACAAAGATTACATGTGTAGTAAGTCACAACTCTGGTAATTACACTGACCAAAATATGTTATCCTCTTTGCCTTTGCTTTCATGTAGAAAACATTGTTCTGAAAAAAATTACAAGGGAATTTTACACATTAAATTTAACTGTTTGTAGTAGGAAATAAAACAATCAGTACATGTATTTTCTGATGGAATGGACGGAAGTAGAGGAATTTTAGAAAAATTCTTTCTTCCTTTATTTAAGTTGATAATAAACTGATTGTAGGACACAGGTGTCATGGCAACAACTTGGGACATGTACGACACATTTGAACAGAGAGACCAAGAAATCCGAGGTAGGTATAGCTGATAGGGTAGCCATATTCTAAAACAATTCAGGTCATAAAATCAGGCAGTGAGATCTAAGTTGTTAAGACAATTATTGTACAGGATGATATCTGGTAATTTATTTAGCAAAAGAGAAAGAGGAGGAAGAAGAAGGTACAATCAGTCGACCGAGCAGTCCTAAGGAGACGGAGGAGGGTAAACCAGCCTCCAAATCAGATGTCGGGGAACCCACAGGGCTGCTCCGTGAAGGTAGTGCTCACTCCGTCAGGATAGGTGAGAGAAACATGTAGTCTGTCAATCATAGACTCAGTAATTAGTACATATAGTAGATTAGTTATAGTACTACTGTTGTAGTTCTTCATAGTCGTAGACTCCAGTAATTAGTAGTACTGTAGCAGTTCATCAGTAGTAGACTCAGTAGTAAGTAGTTGAGAAGTTGGTAGTACTGTAGTTAGTACAGTGGTAGTGTTTAGGTGATGAAGCATACTGTAAGTAGTGGAACTAATATTTAGCATAATGGTTAGGTATGAGAATAATGTACTAAATATATATTAAAGCTTGAGAAAGTTGAACAATAAGGAAAATTGGTAAATTACAAATATCATCAGAGTAATTTTCAACATGGAACTATAAAATTTTCACTGTGTTTAGTCTCTATGAGATTTTGTTCCTTCAGGAGATAATTGTTGCTTTTTTAGCTTATTGAGCTCTGGTTTTTGGAGTCTGTCAATATGGAATGCAGTGGTATAAGGACGGATGGTCTGAGTTTGGTTGATAGCTGATTATCTTTCTGGAAATATTTTTTATAAGAATGTAAAAAACCAAAAAGTAGCTCTGATGGTAACTAAAGTTTTTCAAAAGTGTATACAGTAAAATTTGTCTAATCCGGACTCTGAGTACTCCGGACTTTTGTCCATTCCGTCTGTAAATTTTAGTCCCATGCACTTCTCTAACAAATTCATTAAAAAAAATTCTGTGTAGTCCGGATACTGTCTATTCTGTATTCCGAACGGCCATACTGGTCCCAACTGCTCATAATTAACGGTAATTATTCCCCCTAATCCGGCCACACCTGAGTTACTTCAAAGCAATTAACACCTTTCATGGGGAATGTGATGATCCGTGTTTACATTGGCATATGATTAATGCCATGAGACGAACTCTGTGAAATGCTACGGAGACACAACCCACTTGAAAAATATATTATATGATTAAATTACAATTTAAAAAAAATTAACTTTGTTTTAACTCCTTGAACCACATTATAACATAAACACAAAAATATATGTACGCGATTTACAAATCAAAATATGAATCGGGATCGAAAATCGAACGCATTTCAAAATGGCGCCGTAACACTGTGGGGGGAGACGTAATTTTTTACATAAAAATTAAAAGTTCAATTTAATAATTAGCACATCGTAAATAACTGTGCATTACTTTTAATACCCCGGTACATTGAATGAGGTCTTTGACAAGCGAAACCCGGTCCGCTTGATACATAGTAGGCCTATATTATGCGTGCCTGTATATTTTGATTGAGGGAACATTTCACCCGACTTTCAAACTTCGTGAACAAATAAGAAAATACAGTAAGTTATGTGAGACTATTTTATAATTTCTAGACTCCAAAATAGTGATTGATTTCATCATTTAATTTTATTCATAATATGTGTATGATGTACTTGTAAATAAACAACGAACATTTTCGAAATTAATATTTTCCTGCATTTTTCCTGCACTCCGGATTCTGTCTAAACCGGCCAAATTTCATGGAACCGGCGGTAGCCGGTTTGGACAAATTATACTGTATATTGGTTGAAAGTTTTCTCTTAAATGTGTTTCCTGTGACAAAACTTGTCTATTTCCTTTAATTGTTAGCCAAAAAATTGCAATTATTGGACATCTTCCTTGTAAAAGTTTAGCTTTCAAGGATTTAATTTGTTCTTCTTTAAGTAATTAGTACTGCTATTTTGTTAGGTTATTCTAAAAATGGTTAATGGTACTGTTGTACGTGGTTATATTTTGTTATTGGTTTGTTATTGTTATCGGTTATTTCTGTTATTGACTTGGCAAGAAACCCTTGTATTGACTCAGATAGACTACATGCTTCTCTCTTCCTTTCCATTAAGAAATTTACATGAAATTTTATCAAACTTCAACCAAGAAAAAAAAATGATCTTGTGCAAAATTTAGTAAAAAATTTCAGGGTCAATTGACGCACTCTTTAATGTTAAAACCTTTGTTTTATATACATGTAATAATCCTGTTTTGTATTTAATTTATTCTCGTAAACTAATATTTCTTATAAAGACTCTGTAAAGCCTCTTGTGTCTGAGCGTCCCCCCACAGGTAAGGGCTGGTTACTGGTGTCTCTGGATGTCGTGATTTATCTGCACTCTCTCACAACCAACATACTCCTACCTTATTGTTAAATAAAAAAACCTCAGTGAATAGAAAGGAAATGTACAACGTAGAAAAAATTATAAACTATGACCAAAAAGGAAAAATCTTTTTCTATTCTTTATATATTTACATTTGCAAATATCTTTCTTAAATGAACCTATTGAAGAGAAAATTTGTTCAATTCTGTATGAATGTTATTTCGAGGTCAGAGGTCATAGCGCGACCGAAACACAGAGCGAGGTGATATTTTGTTCATGTAATAAATGCAATTTAACTCAAAATGCATGTATTTGTCTCAAATGTAAATATAAGTAATAAACAACAATGTGTGTTCACTATGTTTTAAACACTGTGCTTTCTTCACTTTCTTTAAGGACAGATGAACCAAATAAAATCTTTAGAAATTTAAACTTGTTATTTATTTTTTAATTAAAAGAAGTTTTCTCCAGGCTATTCATAAAAAAAGAAAACTGTTTCGTATAATTAATTTTCTGTGTAGTACATTTTTGTAACAGATCAAACAACTCGACATGTACTATACTCTCCTCACCAGCATGTTTATCACAGTTATCTTCCCCTTAGTGTGCTTATGTATCAAAACACTTTGCTTTCTTCACTTTCTTTAAGGACAGATGAACCAAACAAAATCTATAGAAATTGTAAACTTTCTATCATGTTCAAAGTTCCACCTCTTGATCTGCATTATCATTTTGTCTGTATAATTTATGTCACTTAAAATAGGACATTATTGTGAAATTTTGAATAAAAAAACTCAATATAGATATATGCAGTTTAACTTATTCATTTCACTTATATAAACATGACTTTAGTTGTTATTATCATGATTTTTGAAAAAGAATTTGAATCATCTGTCCTTAATAAAGTAAATGTATTTCAATATGTCCCTTCATAAATACTGTGAAATATTATTACAGTAAATGATTGATTGATATTGTTCAAGGCCATCATATTTTTACTTTGGATCTAGTGGTTTTATCATGAAGACATTAAAAAAATATTAAAAGTTAAAAAAAAAATCCATCTGTATTTAAATATATTCATACATGTACATGTATTTAAAATCTTTAATCATAATTGCCGTTGTCCTTTTTTTTTTCTTTAAATCGGTATGGGGAAATGTTTGAAAAATAATGTCTAAAAGATAATTCAATGTTTTAACCATGACAGAAATTTTTTGTATGTAAAAATCAACTGCGTTGGAATTCCACAATATAAGTCACTAGATCAAAAAGTAAAGATAATTATGTCTTTATACTGTTAAGTATAATAAATAAGATGAATGAAAATTTTATATAAAAAAATTAGAAAAGTGGAAAGGTAAAAGTTCTGCAGTGTCTCATATACCACATGTAATAAATGCCTATTGTAAACAAAATTCAGCATGAAATGAAAAATGAAAAATCATGATTATTGCACTTGATGTTTTGATCCAAAAAGGCTTGATCAAAATGAAATCCTTGGTATTTGTTGCGAAGATTGGTTTAGCACTCAAAATGAAATATTTGAAGCTAGCTATAAATTGTAATCATTACTTATCATGAATTTTTTAACTTAATTATCTAACCTGCTTTCCCTCTGATATTATTTTTTCTGTCTATATAGAACTTGTTCTGAATCTTTCCATTTTTTTTCTTCCAGAGAGTCGCGCGACCATGGCCTCCTCGGTGGCAGGATCAGAGAGCGTATTTGCCAGCAAAGAGACGGGAGTGTCCTCCATCCCCACAGATCTATCAGCCGTGGAGGAGGAAAAAATATTCAAGGTCGTCATTTAATTTACTCTCAATATTATATTTTGCACATAACAATTACAAACAACATATTTCTGAAGAATTTTTCAAACAATGATTGAATAAGGCTGTTAACTAACAATATTTGTTGTGTTACAGTCAGAAAATTTCCAGAGAGATTTATTTATTATGGAGCGGGTGGTTAATCTGAACACATATCAACCCAAACAGGCCCTGTACAGGAACTTTACTATCATACCAGGTAATTCACTGAAAACAACAGAACTGAACTGATTCTTGAAACATTAATGACGGACAATAAATGGTCTGCTTCTCTTTATAGACATGGACCGAGAAAGCACGGAGCTAGGAGACAAACAGGTCAGCATGGTCAGTGACATGGGGCCAAACTTTGACCGACTCTGGTCCTACTCCTGTAAACTGACCAATGGGCGCAACATCAGCTGTATGTCTTGGAACAAGCTTAACCCAGTAAGTATAAATAAAGATTTCTGAAGCAAGAATTCAGTGAGTAGGGAAAAAGAATGTGTAGTGTACATTTATTTATACTTTAAGAATCATATAATATTATAGTTTATATTCATTTCATATACCAAGATAGATGGACATTTGATCCTGAATACTTTGCATGGTTTTCTTGGAATTTCTCTGAATTTGTTTTTCTTTTTTTTGGTTCTTACTAATTACTTTCAAATTCCTTGAAAGGATCTGGTTGCTGTAGGATATGGAGAATTTGAATTCTCAGATCAGAAGTCTGGCTTGATATGCTGCTGGTGTCTCAAAAATCCTGATGTATGTATAAATATGTATTGTAATAGAGCTTAAAACATTTTTGTGACGTCATCTTTTGTTAAACCTGGTTCAATAAAATTCTTATTGTCCTGCACCCCATCCAATAAGTTACCTGTAGGTGTCCAGTAAGATTCAACTTATTGGACAGGTACAGGTAACATTCAAATGAGAACAAAGGGCGAGGCAAATAAGTAAACAGCACTTAAAAGACAATAAAAAATCAAACAATTTAATATGAACAATGTAGGAAATTAGTAGCATTAAATGTTAATATTTCACAAAAAATCCTATTGAAAATGGCCCAAATAATCCACAGTGAATTGAATGTCTCACATTTGTTATTGTAGACGCATCCGTGACCCCTATCATAAATTTCCTAAATTCACCATTAATTGCTGTATGTTAGATTCATTTCACAATGATTGATCCGTGGAATATATATATATTGAATCCAAGGGAAACGAAAGATGAATGAAAAGCATGCGTTTTCTTGCACACAACCTTGGGCTGTTTGGCTTAGTTAAATATCCACTTTTTCCGCATTTAACACAAAATTTCGTTCATGAAATTCCAACAGAATCTGTAATTTCGTTCGGTATTTTATGGCCATTTGTCCACCTATTCCAGCGTTGTTTTAGCGAGTGTCTGTCGTTGTTTTACGGAATGGCTGGAGTAAAATCTTTCCGATTTGGAAACCTGCACACAAAAGAGAAACGAGAAAAAAGAGAAATTTCATAGAAAATGCTTAAACAGTGGTTGGAGTAAAATCCTTCAAATCCTATTGCTTTACAAAAATTACCTGTTAACGGAAACGGTTTCTTGCAAATTCTGAAACATAAGTATATTTGGTAGAAAACTTGAACTGAGGCATCTTGGTGTAATCGATAAATGGCATCGTCAAAACACCGGATTCTGAGGGTCTTTTTTTCAAAATCAAAATGTACGTCGTCATCCGTGGTCGTTGCATTTTTAAATGAATAAATTGTAAAGAATTTAGTAGAACTGACTTTTACGCATGCGTAGTATATATAAAAAAATGTCGCAATGCGGATAAATAAGACTAAACAAAGTTAATGTTCATATTTATCGATATAAAACACCTCTCGATGATTCCTACCATTTATAAAGACAGAAGGAAAACCAAAACTGGTTTTCTTTGGCCTTACTTGATGAACAGTGCCAGGTAGTCATCCAAGCAGAACGAGACCTTACCTGTGACTGTCCAATAAGTTAACAATGGAAGTGTTCGACAGTGGTGAAATGTTTTAAGTAAGTTATAAGCCTCAAACTGACCATTATGTCAGATATTAGACTCTCCTCGGCGCTAACGCGCCTCGGGTCGTCTAATATCTGACATAATGGACAGTTTTCGGCTTATAACCATTACATATAAGCATCTGTTGTACTGTATAAATCTACTCTCCCATCATTCCACTACAGTATTTTATACAGCACTTGTACCTTTTCCATTTGATTACAGTATCCTGAGAGAGTGTATGCCTGTAAGGAGGGGGTGACTGCTATTGATTTTTCCAAAGCCTACCCCAATCTTCTGGCTGTAAGTTATATGTACAATAGTCATAGATAGTATCTACTGTAGAACTGATTATTTTGTAATAATGTGAGGATGTAAACACTATGAATCTGTATTTGTTTTCAGGTTGGTATGTATGACGGAGGAGTCGCCATTTACAATGTCGCCAGCAACAAGGATGAACCAATCATTGACAACTTGTAAGTGTACTGCATCATATTCTGAAATAATTTAGGAAACTTACGAATCCTCAGATTCATAGCAGTTACTTAAGATTCATTGATACTTTTATATACTTTTGCAAGGTTTGTTATAATTGTTTTTACTTTTAATTTTAAAAAACAGTTCTTTAGAAAAACGTAAGCAGTACAGCTATGTTTTTTGTGAGGTAGCCAAGGGTTTAAGAACTTTAAATCAGTCATGTGCCTGAGGGCTGTAATTCCTTGTTTTATTTGTTGTTTCTCAGCCACACCCCTGGTAAACACACAGCCCCGGTGTGGCACATTAAGTGGATCGAGAAGGAGCGGGGGTCAGGAGAGGAGACATCGGAGGTGGTGGTCTCCATCTCCACGGACGGACGCGTCACTCAGTGGTCCATCAGGAAGGGATTCGAGTGCTATGGTAACCATTTTATTTTAGTTTCCTCTTCATCAAGTAAACAGCAGTATCTCTAATACCTTATAAGTGGATATGTTAAAGTGATTCAGAAGTCTCAACCACTTTTACTCTAAATAATGTGAACCCCCAGGTATCTCTTCTTTTTTTTTTAGCTTAATGAGTTTGAAATAAAGAGGTTTGACTGCATTGTAAATTCATTTTATTTGCCATGCTGTAACATCATCACAGTTGTTTTGGGTTCCAGATGTAGCAAAAATAAACCACTTGAAAAGGTTCCTTTTTCCTTATTTATGTTTGTTTATTTTTAGACATTATGAAACTGAAGAGAATGCCCACAAGAATGGGAGGGAAAAAAGAGAAGAAGGGCGAGGCCTTTATTTCCAGACATGCGGGAGGAATGTGCTTTGACTTCCACCCCAAAGAGCCAAACATGTAAGTCACATTTTCATTCCACCCCAAAGAGCCAAACATGTTAGTCACATTTTCATTCCACCCCAAAGAGCCAAACATGTAAGTCACATTTTCATTCCAACCCAAAGAGCCAAACATGTAAACCACATTTTCATTCCAACCCAAAGAGCCAAACATGTAAGTCACATTTTCATTCCAACCCAAAGAGCCAAACATGTAAGTCACATTTTCATTCCAACCCAAAGAGCCAAACATGTAAGTCACATTTTCATTCCACCCCAAAGAGCCAAACATGTAAACCACATTTTCATTCCAACCCAAAGAGCCAAACATGTAAGTCACATTTTCATTCCAACCCAAAGAGCCAAACATGTAAGTCACATTTTCATTCCAACCCAAAGAGCCAAACATGTAAGTCACATTTTCATTCCACCCCAAATAGCCAAACATGTAAGTCACATTTTCATTCCACCCCAAAGAGCCAAACATGTAAACCACATTTTCATTCCACCCCAAAGAGCCAAACATGTAAACCACATTTTCATTCCACCCCAAAGAGCCAAACATGTAAGTCACATTTTCATTCCACCCCAAAGAGCCAAACATGTAAGTCACATTTTCATTCCACCCCAAAGAGCCAAACATGTAAGTCACATTTTCATTCCACCCCAAAGAGCCAAACATGTTAGTCACATTTTCATTCCACCCCAAAGAGCCAAACATGTTAGTCACATTTTCATTTCTTCCCAAAGAGCCAAACATGTAAGTCACATTTTCATTCCACCCCAAAGAGCCAAACATGTAAGTCACATTTTCATTCCACCCCAAAGAGCCAAACATGTAAACCACATTTTCATTCCACCCCAAAGAGCCAAACATGTAAGTCACATTTTCATTCCAACCCAAAGAGCCAAACATGTAAGTCACATTTTCATTCCACCCCAAAGAGCCAAACATGTAAGTCACATTTTCATTCCAAAGTTTTCATTCCACCCCAAAGAGCCAAACATGTAAGTCACATTTTCATTCCACCCCAAAGAGCCAAACATGTAAGTCACATTTTCATTCCAACCCAAATAGCCAAACATGTAAGTCACATTTTCATTCCAACCCAAAGAGCCAAACATGTAAGTCACGTTTTCACTGCATTGACACATTTACTCTGACAAAGTGTAACTGTTTAATCACCCATGATATGTTTGTGTTTTACAGATATGTAGCAGGAACAGAAGAGGGCCATATCCACAAATGTTCTTGTTCATATAATGAACAGTATCTAGAATCTTATTACGGACACACGGTGAGGATTTATCTTTATATTCATTGGAAAAATGTATTGAGATTTTCGCCTCTTAATTAAACGTATCCTTTTCATGTGACAGGGTCCAGTTTATAAGATAGAGTGGTCTCCCTTTGTTAGTGATATCTTTATGAGCTGCAGTGCTGATTGGAGCATCAGGCTGTGGCACCAGGAGAGAACTCAGCCAATCCTTAACTTCTTCTCCTCTACTGTAAGTATACAGGGAAACTGTCAGAAAATATCCTCTTGATTTTATAACATATGTAATCTAACAAGCCCCCCACTACAGTTAAATAAATGTACATGTAATACAGTCATACATTTAGAAATTAGTTTAGTTTGATAATACTTTACCTACATTCTTTATTTGTCAGAAATCAGTATACGACGTAGTTTGGTCACCTAAATCCTCAACGGTGTTTGCGTGTGTGAACGAGGGCGCAGTGGAGGTGTGGGACCTCAGTATCAGCACGTGAGTCCTTAGCTGACTAGTCTGATTTATCATCAAGGGATGTGTATCTAAATACTTGTAACAATACATGTAAACCCTGTTTCTTTGTGTAGGTTGGACCCAATCATCACCAACAACCCAACATCAGGTGCCAAAAAGACCTCCGTCTCCTTCTCCAAGAACTCTGATGTAAGTGACTGATCACCTTGTCTTGTTGTCTGATGATTTGGGGGTGGGGTTTGATTAGTTTGATGTGTAGCTTATTTTGTCTTGTCTTTATTTCAGTGTATACTGGTTGGAGACAGTAAAGGAGAATTGACAGTGTATCAACTTAGAAGTATGCCAGAACCTCCAGCCAACCAGGTCTGTAATCAACTGTATTATAATCAAAGTGTTATCAAAAAGGCCGAGTTAGAGACTGCATTTTATTATAATCTCTCAAGATACATTAAATTGCAAAAATTCATAGTAAGCCCCTTTTTCTGAGATACAGTTATTGCTGTGTCATAAACTTGATGTTTCAAATTTTCTTAACAATAATAAGAAATTTCTACCAAAATTTACATCAAGAGGACCAGAGTCATGTGATTGTTGTATTTCAGGAGGATGCTTTGAGGAATGTGATCAAGGCTTCCCTGGCTAGTCAGCTACAACAGGATCTTAAAAAGAAAGAAGAGGAGGCCAAGGAATTGGAGCAGGAAATTGATGAGGACATCTAGAGAAGAGAACAGAATGGGTACAATGGACCACAAATCCAGCACCAAGATCTGTGTCACATGGCTTTACACATGTATAAAAACTATAAGCATACATGTTACACTTCTTTCATTTAAATGAAAAAGACTCTTCTACGACCTTGATCACAAGAATGGGTTGTCATTGTTTATTTTGACAGTATTTATGATGTAATTTGAAATACAAGACTGACTATTGTTGGGACTCATATTTAATGAAAATTCCGTCCAATCTTGTTTCTGATATTAATGTACGAACAAATTTTTCTTTGTATTTCTCATGTTATTTTTACAAACTATTAAATTAAGAATGCTATATGGTCTCTTTGTCAATAGAAAGTTCTAATAATGGAATTAGGTTCAATCTCATTACTCTAATATGTGCCCATCAAAAAAATCTTTGAATATCGTAAAATTTGTGACATGTTGGAAAAGGGTCTCAGGCCCAAGGCTAGAGATAATCTGATCATACATATACATAGGAGTTCAATTATGATCCATACTGAGACTATAAATTTCCTGTTGTGTAGTATGTAAAATTTTCAGGCATTCTGTGCATTTAATTTGGTCTCCATATCTGAGGGCTCCTCTGTACATTGCATGCTGAAGTTAGGGTGATCTACCCCAGGTCTGAAAAATACGTGTAATTTTGTTGTAACACATTATTTGATTGGACAACAGATTAAGTTCGTATTATTTAACATAACTTGCTGAAATCACAATGAGTTACATCAATATTACTCCGCTTGACGTTACTTTAAAAAAAGGTCAATTTTAGGCCATTTTTGAAGGAAAAATTGTTATATTGTCAACACTTAATGATGGAAAATCAAATTACAAGGAATGAATTTAAAAGCTACCCTAAATTATATATTATATAATATTGGTTGGAACAGTTTATGCCTTGTGGTTTATAAAGCATAAACTCACCCCAACCGTGATATACACACACTTGTTTCTGTTGCAGTTCTTTTTACCCATAGTACAATAACACAGTGTATCCAACTCCGAAGTACCCTCTCCCCAGAACTGCACTCATTTTCATTTACACTTTTAGAGAAAATGCTCAGGTAAACTGTTTATAGTCTTCTACAGTAATTTATCAACATAATCATATATGACACACTTGTATTTTTTACTTCCTTTAACGTCAGTAAACAGCGTCAAAACTCTTCTCACCAAGTGGAAAGTCGAATCACCACATGAAATGGTACATGTATGTGCTAATCTTGGACACAAAACAAAGATAAAATTGAAGTCCAGTGTTAAAGTATTGCAGTGAATAAGTAAAACTTTTTTATGTCTAATTTTTATAATAACACTACGATATCTTTCCGATGTAATTTTAAAAACAGATTTTTAACCAATCATAATCTCTTCCTGAGCTCAGTAATATATTGTATACATACCTTCAACACTTGCATACGGGATTTATATCTCTCTGTTGATTCGATACAAACAAGTTGAGGAGGCAAAAATGTCGGCGGTCGCGTTTAGGGTCATCGTTTCGTGCAGATTTTTAAATATATTTTTTCTCAATAAATGTCATTTTCAAGTGATACTTTCTATCTGTTAATCAATGATATATTTATAAACTGTAAAAGTTTTAACTTTATACCTCGCATAGTTTTGGAGCTATTGTAAATGTGAATGTTTTACATTTTTGACATCTTGACATTTGGAGGTCTGTGTGTTTTTTTTTTTTTTGGTATTAATTTTACATGTAAGCTTGAGTACTAGTACTGTGAATAATCTCCATATAATTTACCTTATCCTTTGTTAATTTAATTCTTATGCTACATAGCTTTTAAGAAAATTCAATGCAAAACGTTGGAAAATTTATATTTTTTTGGTGAAATTTAGAGAGAGGGTCATTGGTCCTTTAGAAAATGTAAATTTGCAAAGTTTAAAGTGTATGGTTTTAAAAGGCATCATGTCAGCTTCTACGCAGTTAGAGGACAAGGATTTATTACATCATATTTTTTACGTCTCTATTCAAATTTAATTTATATGACAGAGAGTACAATACTTACATAATCAGATAAGGATGCTTTTTTTTTTTTTTTTTAAATCCAAGGAACTTTTGGATAATTTGAAATCACAAGATTTCACCAAAATCAACAGCTTAAAAACTTTCGACTTTTCAACTTTATACATAACCGTTCCCCACGATAAAGTCCAGGCTTTTTTTTATATCATTGACAGCTGCTTTTTCAATTAGAATGGAACTCGTAAATTTACCTACCTTGTCATTGGTCATTTGCAAAAATAACTTGTTAAAACATTCTGATTGTACACACAAGTACCCTGAAGTTGACATCAAAAAGATGCTTGAGTTTTCTGATTGACAATCTGTGGTTTTTGGAGACCAGGTTTTCAACAATCTATTAGAATACGATGGGTACCAATTGCGCCCCGTTATTAGCAGACCTATTTTTGTATTCAGATGAAGCAGAATTTGTTCAAAATCTTATACGTGAAAAGAAGAAAACACTTTCTGTGGATTTCAACGCGACATTTAGATATGTCGACGACTTATTGTCAATTAACAATGATAATTTCCATTCTTATGTCGATACGATATATCCTGTTGATCTTGAGATTAAAGACACCACAGAGTCTGACACATCTGTTTCATATTTGGATATTTAGCTTGAAAAAGAAATTAATGGTAATCTAACAACCAATCTCTATGATAAACGTGATGACTTTAACTTTTCTATCGTCAACTTCCCTTACTTATGCAGCAACATACCTTCATCACATGCATACGGAGTTTACATATCTCAATTGATTCGATACGCATGTTCTATGTATGAACAATTTCTAAAACAAGGTAAATTATTGACAAACAAATTGATGAAACAGGGATTTCAGCAGTCTCGTTCAAAGTCATCATTTCGTAAGTTCTATGGTCGATACAATGACCTTGTCAGCTAATACAATTTATGATTAAGTCAAATGCTACTTGTTAGTCCGTTATTTATAAACTGAATTGACGACAGATTTTTCCGTTCTTACCCGATCATGACAAGAAGCATACGGCGGGTGTGACCGGTCGGCAGGGGATGCTCACTCCTCCATCACACCTGATCACACCTCTGATGTTTCGGAGGTCCGTGTTTGCTCTGCTTCTATTTTGTATTGTTTTATGGACTTTTGATATTGAATTCTGTTCGTTATCTCCATATTTTTTCATAGGGTGATACACTGTACGTACAGTACGTATGGGATGCGATCTACGAAGTCTGGTCTAGCTTTTGTTAAAGAAAAATATACATTTTAATAAAAATGGGATTTTACTGTACATGTATTATGTTATGTCTAAGAATTAGTGTCATGATTTGGACTCAGATAAAACTGTTTTATACGTTTCTCTGTTTTCCAAGACCATTAGACGGAATCAAAATAATTTGTTTCTTTGACACTTTTTTGATTGACCAGACAGTAATATTATGTCTTTGATGGAATAAAGCGGACTGTAATCTCTTTAAGGGGAAATTTAGCACTTCCTGGAAGCATAGACTCAGAACGTTCGTACTGGATCCTTCATAGTTTGTGTTAACTGTAATTTATTACCTCACTCACAGCTATTCGATAGAAACGTCCGACAATTCCTTTATTGGTAACTATGATAGCATAGATGACTTCTTTTTACGTCTGAACAAGTGTATGAAAGATTATACATGTCTGTTGATCTGAATAAGACTGAAATATCAACCTCTTCCATTTGTATACTTGTGTAACTTCGTACAATAAAGTCTGCATGCTTGCCGCAGGCACGTAGCATCGTTTTTGAAAGTGGGGGGGGGGGCAACCAGAGAAAATTTTTTTTACTGACCTGAAAAAGTTGACAAGCCCGCCCCCCCCCCCAAAAGGATAAAATTTAAAGTTGCCCAAACTTGAAAATCCTATTTCGTAGGGGGGGGGGGGGGGGGGGGGGGGGGGAGTGGCCAACTTTTTCAAAGCCAAGTTACTTTCACTTCCAATTTTTTTCCTACAGTTCCTTGATGTCACTATACTATGGTAAAAAGTGGGGGGGGCCAACCATCCTTTCAATGAACATTTACTATAGTAAAGGTAATGTTGGGGAAAAAAGTGGGGGGGGCCAGCCCCCCCCCCCCCCCCCCCCCGTTGCTTCGTCCCTGTGCCGCACACAATGATAAAGACTGTTCAAAACAGAGTGCGCTAAAGGACTATAGTCCGGGGGCCCGATTTACGAAAGAACTTGTGCGACTAAAACCAAAAATTGATTCTGTTCAAACTTTCTACATGTATTTTACATCGATTTGAAATCTGATTTAATCTTTTTAAAAAAAAATTAATCAAGATATTTTCATGCTAGCAATTTCAAACAGAATATTTTTACCAAATTTAACTATAAATTAATTTTTTTTTGCTTGAGTCGTAAGTTTTTTTGTAAAACAGACCCCAGGCTTTTTCATATCATTGACAGCCGCTATTTTCACTAAAATGGAACCAAATTTGTCATTGGTCATTTGAAAATTTATTTTGTTAAAAAAATTCTGACTAACACACAAGTATTCTGAAGTTAATAATGTAAAGATGGACCTGGTCTTCCAACAATCTACTGAAATTCCCATGGGAACCGACTGCGCCCCGTTATTAGCAAACCTCATTTAGTATTATTTAAAGCCGTATTTGTCCAATATCTTGATTATATATATGTGAAAAGAAGAAAACACATGCTGTGGCATTCAACTCGACATTAGAGAGATATAGAGGACGTATTGTCAATTAACAATACCCGGTAGTTATTTCCATTCTTATGTCGATACGATATATCCCGATGAGCTTGAAATAAAAGATACTGCAGAATCTGATATACCTGTTTCATATTTGGATATTTTACTTGAAAAAGGCGTTAATGGTTATCTAACAACCAAGCCTTATGAGAAACGTGATTTATTTACTTGCTTAACATTTCAATCGTCAACTTTTCTTACTTATACAGCAATATACCTTCATCACCTGCATTCGGGGTTTATATCTCAGTTTCAGATACAATGACCTTGTCTGCAAGTACAATTTATCATTGAGTCAAATGCTGACTGACGTTTTTCCTACTTATCGTTAGTCCATTATTTATACACTGAATTGACGACGGATTTTCTGTTATTTTCTGTCATGACAAGGAGCACACGGCGGGTTTGACCGGTCGGCAGGGGATGCTCACTCTTCCATGTTACTCAGTACCTGATCCCACCTCTGATGTTCGTGTTTGCATTGATCCAATTTTTAGGTCACCTGAGTAAACTCAGGTGACCTATTGCTATCTGTTTTCGTCCGTCGTCG